TGATGGACTATATCCGTTCCTCAGACTAGCAGATTCCATACTAGCTGATCGCAGAATCGGCCTATGAAAAGACGGTAGATCCAGCAAAAAAACGGCTCTACAAGTTGCGCCTGCTCGTATTTTACTCCCTTTAGCTCGCACTCGTACCAGTCACTCTTTTGACCTGAGAATGCATATTATGAGAGGGGATCAAGGCTCGAAATTTTGCTCCTTAATTGCTTCACTAGTTTCTTGTGGCGACGCCCGCACTGCTGTAGCTCTCAAGCTATTGCTTCGTCAAAGGCATTTGTATGTCTTTTAGCCCTAAAGACTGTCTCAACAGTAGTGAATTTTAGAGGCAAGAATCCTCTCAATTCTTCTAAACCTTAGTCTCAGCCGCTCAATTAGTTTGGTAGCAACAAGAACAAGTCACACTCCTTCTGGTCTGTGTTTCTGTGGAACACTGAAATCATAATTCTTTACAGAATTAAAAAAAAGATTAACTTCTGACGATTTTATTAAATATCATCGCCTTTCTGTGTTCTTGCTTAAACTATTGTACCTATTTTGTGATGGCCACTCAGCTCTCTTCATCCACTTTACAGGTTCTGAGATAAATAATCCTTTACCTCCGAGAAACGGAACCAACTGAATCATCCATTTAGATCTTCCAGGAACAGCATTTTAAGATGCTTGTTTTTCATAATCCCTGGCATGAAAGGCCACAAAAAGTGTGAAGGGTGTGCTGTAGTGTAACCAATCATTTTCAATTGACTGAATTATATTTGCTCTACTTTGTGTTTGTATGTTATGTTGGTTTTATCTGTCAGCTTGTCCGTTTTACATTTGCGTTGTTAATCGTGTTCTCTCCCTCTAAATTACGCTTGATTCAAAGATTTATGTTAATAGCTGTCTTAGCTTCCCTACTTTGATTATAAATGATTATGAAACGCAATTACTAGTTTAGATTATTGAATATACCTTGGTTATCAGCTCCTTGATTAGTTGCACTGCTACTTTAGACCATATCTGCGGCTAAGTTAGCCTCCGAAATGGTTTCATAATCACTTAAACTTATTCTCCATTCAATTTTTTAAAATAGTTCGACTTCCCAAATGTGAACTGTCAATGAATGACTAAATTACTTTTTTTGAGATTTAGAAGATGCTTGGCATCAACGCTAAATATAAAGGGTTTAGTTATCTAGGCTGCTTAAAGATGCACTACTCTTGAAACCTAAAATTTTGTAAAGGATTCTATATCTCGGTATAAACGTAAATATTAAAACCTATATTCTATGACCTCTATTTTCGTCAGTTTCATTTCGATGTATAGAAGTGGCCTGACCTCGTTTTCGCAACTTGGTCGTGTTGTCAGAGTTATTCAGTTTGGCACATCTTGTCTGAAGTCCTCTTCTATATTAGTTATAATTTTCAGCATAGGATCATGGACTTGTTATATTCTCAGCCGTTTCTCCGAAACGATTGTGCTATCATTCCTCTTTCTGTCCTGGCCCATTTATCTACTCCGTACCCTCTTATCACACTCCCGCCCCATCACAACTTCTGATTTGTTTATATTCCATTCCTCAAAAGATGTGCTCTTTTAGGTGAGCTTAATGTGGCTTCATCACGCCTGCTCACTTTGATTTCCTCTAGATTGGCTAGTCCGACTCAGTCTTCCTATCCGGATCTCCCTCGTGGGCCCGTAGATCCGTTTCTTATCTTTATAGTTGATTGCTTTCACTCGGTTTCAGTCCAAGTACAAATTAAACTTCAGACGCTATTTCTCAAGCCTTCAGTAGTACGCACATTGTATCATCACTGCCTAGGCTCTGGTTCCTATGTCTGCAGATATTAGGCATTGTATTTACGGATAATCTTGATTCAGCTCATTTACTCTGAGCAAACTGTGCACATCTATCTCTTGTCGTCTGTCACCTCTCGAGTGGATTGCTAGTCAATTTAGCTATAATGCCGAATTTCTGAGACGGTTGTGGTTGTCCGTCTCTCTAGTCCTGTGACCGCCGGACCCATAAAGTTATAGTTGTTTCTTGGAGCAGACTACACTCCCTGAGAACGTCTTCGCTTGATTTCCGAAACTTTTTTACCCACTTCTTCCTCGCGATCATTTTTCTTCTGGTTTACGACAGATCCTTGATCTAGGCATCTCCTTTTTTACTTGTCTTGTAGTATACTTATTTTATTTGAGTTTGCTTATGCAATAGACAAATTTATTGCTAACTCTACCTTATTCCAATCTCCTGTTCATTAAATTTATTTCCCCATGGATGCCACTGGCCTCTATAATCTTCCATTTCCCTGTGTTTTCACCGTATGAGGCGCTTCTTTCTGTTGTCTTCCAATTAATCTCGTGTACAGTCTGTACGGTGTGTTCCGCTATTCCTGATCTCTCGGTATCTATTTTCCTGCAGATCTTTTGATGTTCCCTAATATGTATGCCATTTTTTCTCTGTTTTGTCAATATATTTCTATTTGCAGATCCTGCAGGTTATTTAGTAAACTTCTGAGCAATCCCATTGGTCCATCCTCTCATATTGCGTCAGTAGACTTGTGAAAAATGTTATTTTTTTCTTCGTGGTCACCAGAATAGTCCATTTTCTTAGTATTGACAGTGGTTTTTGAGCTAGTTCGAAGGAAGTTAGGCATATCCACTTGTGTGTCTTTTTCTATCCGTACTGTTATTTCATTATCCTTTTCCTGCTTTAGGCTTTTCACGGTCAGTGTGTCTCTTTGTATCACGTCGCTTCGGTAACCGTTTCCCAGGAATATCGGAGTCAACTTTTACTATTCTTCATATCAGAAGTCCACATCTGTTAATCATAGGACTACCTATTTCAATTACGACGACAATATCTATAAAAAAAACACATTTCTTGATAAAAGCCGATGGCAGGACAGAGACTATGACAAAACAGTAAGGATGGAGAAAGACTTACACAAGTGGATATGCTTTCTTGCAAACAAGCTCAAAAACTACGGAGTGATAGCGCAACCGTCGGTCAAGGGATTGACTTATCTCTGACGAGTTTTAGCTTGGTACTCAGAATGGCAAAACTTATTGATGATGCCGACTACGATATCGACGAAAGGTCTGGCAATGTACTAAGTCTACGGCTGGTAATTATGATAGCTAAAATAGAAAAGAACTCCGGACAAGTTGTGCCCATCTAAGTCCCCCTGACAATACGACCAAGTTGCGAGAACGAGGTTAGATCACTTCTATCTCGGTATAATCCTAATTTTAGGCTTAGTTGTTCTCTCTAACTTCTTGACCTGTTTCGAGTATGTATATGCAAACCCATTTGGCATGTATTGGTCACACGGTCGTAATTGTCTCACTAATGCCATTTTCCTCAGACGTTTCTTCATGCACATGTGTTTTATGCCCTCATTTCTTATATCTTTTCCAATCGGCAATGACTTATCTCCATTCCTTATTCATGGTCTGGCGAAATTTTGTCACAGGATCGAATCTACGTGTTAGTCACCGACCTTGGACTTCTTAACGAGGACCGTGTTGTCTGGGAGGCCTTGAACGATGTGGACGGTGATACTCAGTTTGTGGATGCAAATTTCAGCCTGTTCGCTCCTCCCACTACAGCTTCTGGTGGCGGCGGCAGCTCACTTTTATATGGCGGTACCGGCTTGAAGCCTACTCCGGTCTCCATTTATTCGAATTCTGGATCTTCATCTACGGCAGCGGATACACAAACTTCTTCCATCTCTGAAGAAAATCCTATGAACATTCTTACTCAATTTCCTCCCCCTACTGCCCTGATTACCTCTACAGCAAGTAACAACGTTATTTCTCCTCCCTCGTTATCTTTTTCGCGCCCCGCCTGTAGCACACTAGACTACAATGTTATCCTTTCTTCTAACGCTGGGCCTAATGCAACACCCGTCTGTGCCGTCACAAATGCCGTTGCTTTTTCTCCTAGCACGACTACCATAACTACAAAAACCACCAGTACTACTGCCACCTTACCATTATTACCCTCTTCCTCTCACTCATTTACCTCAGCCTCGACTTCGGCATCAAATATCAATGACGTTGTCCAAGACTCATCACTTCCCATCGTTTCCCCCCATTCTCGTGATGAAAAGCTATCTGGCAAAGAAGGAGATTCTATCGATAGGTTAGTTGAAAAGATTGAAACAACACTACCAAGCAAGGAAAAAGGATTGGAAAAAGATATATTGTCAGAAATGACAGCACCTTCCACCGTTGAATCTCATAGTTCATCATCAGAAACACTTCATGGACAGAGATCTATTCCATCTTCGCTAACTAAGTCCCTTGCTGAGACGAGGAAAATAGGGGCCGAAGGACCTGAACTAGCAGCTAGGGGAACTGTTTTTAGTACTGGAATTGATAAATTTCAATGCGCTGGATCCATGTTGACTGATACAACCTCGGTTTCCACTTGTCTTGAACAAGAAAACCAGGAAAAACAAGGAAAGCAACTGCTATCTGAGTATGTCGTTTCGTCTTTGATTAATTTAATTCAGTTTGTCTAACGAACTTTATTCAATAAATTAGCGTTTGGTTTTTTTCTAGTGCCTGTGGCTTGTCTCTATGGCGTATTTTAAAATTATTTTTATTATTTTATATTTATTCTATTTACCTATTTTCACACTTTACATAATCATTTCATTCTTTCTATCCTTTTCCCGTCTATCTTTTCGTGGCTCGTATTTTTATCTAATGAATGTTATTTTGCCGCCAAGCTACGAGCTTGCCGTGGCACTTCAACGTGAAGAGGATGAGGCGGCTACGGTGTTAGCTCATAGACGCTCAACTATGCAGCAAGAAGGACTCAAATTGCCTCAGAGTAGAAGCGACAAAAGTAATCATTCCCTTATGCTTCCTTCGCAGACTTCACCGTCTCCGGCTTTATCTTCGGCACCAGAAGCAGACACTTGCGCTGGCCATGCAATGTCAGATCGTGAGTTGGCTCTTTTGCTTCAAGAGGACGAGTTCGAGCTGGCTGATGCTGAGTCAGCCGCAGCGGCAGGTTCATCTTCAGTGGCATCTGGTGAGATGACAGTTTTATAGATGTGCACAAAAAGCGGTGCTTCATGTATCACATATCTTCATAGTACGAAGAGTAACTGGGTTTCTATTAATTTCCTGAGATAACATTGTTGGGGAGACCCTCATTTCGTATGAAAGTGCATGGAAAGAGATGCGTAGACTGATCTCACCAGAAGACGACGGCTGAATCTCGTTATACTGAAGCCGCTTGGCCACAATACAACGTTCAGGTTGACGCAGTCCACTACATATCCTCTCTCGCTTCGAGTGAAAACAGACTGAGCTTTCGCTCATCATATGATGGACATCATCAGAGCTGAAACTCATTCTTGTAAAAGTTTCACGTTAACACTAGTTCAAGAAGACTATCCGATTCTATCTTAACTCATACATATACTCATAACTAAATACGAAAATGAATAGACATAGATAGATATGGGATGATTTGGCTAGTTATCTTTCATACTAGTTCTGCTACTTTTGCTGGAGTCTGTGGGTGTGTTCGTGCGCTAACGTCTATACGTAATACCTGTCCTAAATCATGTGATGAAAAAAGACAAAAAGGCTGATATCAGGCTTTTGTTATCAAGGCTTAATGACCCAAGAAAGAGCCCTGACCGAGACTGCGTAAGTTCGTAAGCAAGTATGGTTGAGATAATAAGATGCAAGCTTGTAAATGTGTAGGTCAAGTTATGCAACCTCCTGCCCTAACCTCTCAGTCTAGGATCATTAAGGTTTAACTGATCAAGGAAAGGTGTGACTGGGGCTGCGTAATCTCATAAGTCTCGTTTGGTTGATGAGCTTGATCTAACATGTTGGACGAGTATGAGTTAGAACGATCAGTGAACAGAGAAGTTTCGTCACCTTTTGTATGGTGGCTCAATACTCTCTCTCCTTCAATCTAACAATCAAGTATAGGTAATTGTTACTCAACCTTATTCCATCTTTCCTCACATTCAACGTATTCCATAATCTATTT